CAGGGTCTTCTTAGTTCTCAGCATGCAGCTGTTAATGCCCTTTGGGGCAACCCTCAACCAGCAGCTGGTAGGTAACCAGGAGAACAGGAGCTAGTGGGTAAATAACACTAGCAAACTGAATCTGACAGCACGTTAAATAGATTGTACACCATGGCCAAGTGGGATTTATCTCAGGATATTTTCAGGGGAGACTCAAACAGGTATTTGCACACTGATGTTCACAGCAGCCTTATTTACAATAGTCAAAAGGTGGAAATGACCCAAATGTCTAAGGACAGATGAATGGATAAACAAAATATGGTGTATCCACACAATGGAATATTATTCAGCCATAAAAGAAACAGAGAACAAAGAACATGCGACAACTCTGATGAATCTTGAAAACATGTCAAGTGAAAGAAGCTAGAAATAAAAGGTCACATATTGCCTGATTCTTTTTTTTTTTAAGATTTTATTTATTTATTTATTTGAGAGAGAGGGCGAGCACAAGTGGGGGAAGGGGCAGAGGGAGAGAGAGAATCTCAAGAGGACTCTGGGCTGAGTCCGGAGCCCATCTGGGGCTCAATCTCACGACACTGAGATCATGACCTGAGCTGAAATCAAGAGTTGGAGGCTCAACTGACTGAGCCACCCAGACGCCCCATTGCCTGATTTCTTTTTATGATATATCCAGAATAGGCAAATCCATAAAGACAGAAAGCACATTAGTGGTTACCAGGGGCTGGGAGGTAGAGGGAAGTGGGGACTGATTACTTAATGGAGACAGAGTGGTTTTCGGGAGCGATGAAAAAATTTTGAAACTCGAGAGACGTGGTGATTGCATAATATTTTAAATATATTAAGTGCCAATGAATTGTACACTTTAAAGTGATTAATTGTATGTTATGTGAATTTCACCTCAATAAAAAATAAAAACGTCAATGTATGGTGCAGTGAAAATATAAACTTCCAACTCTATTAGGCTCTAATTTAGTAGTACATGTGAAAGTTTAAGTTTACCTACAAGGAGCCAACTGAAAGAGCTCCCGATGGCCAAAAGAGAATGATTTGAAGCAAGAAAATCAAGTAATATTGGGCTACACTCCAATTAATACAATTAATGATTGAATAGATTAATAAATGGGGGAGAAGAGACTAGTGTCCTATGCAGAAGAATTCCAAATAATTTATGAAAATATTCTGTCCGGGTGCCTGGGTGGCTCAGTTGGTTAAGCGACTGCCTTCGACTCAGGTCATGATCCTGGAGTCCTGGGATTGAGTCCCGCATCAGGCTCCCTGCTCAGCAGGGAGTCGGCTTCTCCCTCTGACCCTCTCCTCTCTCATGCTCTCTATCTCATTCTCTCTCTCAAATAAATAAATAAAAAATCTTTAAAAAAAACTTATTTATTAAAAAAAAAAGAAAAAAAGAAAATATTCTGCCCTGAAGGGAGGGGAGCATAACTTCCCCTAGGTATGAACTGTGCAGAGAGGCTTCTTTCCAAAGAGTGCACTATGAAAAAGGGAGCAGGGGTAGTAACTCTATAGTGGGGAAACCTGACAAACACTACTTCAGCCAGTTGATCAAGGTCACCATCAATAGTCATGAATCCTGTTGATTTACATACCCTTGATATAATATGGAAATGTCATCTTACTTCTGTGGCATCCTTCCTCTAAACCCATAACCCCACAAGTCTAATCATGATAGAACTGATATCAGATAAATCCCAGTAAAGGGTCATCCTGCAATATCCCTCAAAAGGGTTCCAGGATTCCTCAAAACTGTTAGAGACATAAAAAACAAGGAGAAGTCTGGGAAATTGTCACAGACTAAATGTAATATGGTGTTCTGGATGCGATCATGGAACAGAAAAAGGGCATTGGGTGAAAACTAAGGAAATCTAAAGTATGGATTTCAGGGAACAAAATGTATCAATATTGGTTTGCTACTTTATAACAAATGCATCATGGTAATGTAAGATGTTAATAATAGGGAAATTGCAGAGGTATATGGAAACTCTGTACTGTCTTTTCACTGTTTCTGTAAATTTATTTTTTATTTTTTTAAAGATTTTGTTTATTTATTCATGAGAGACAGAGAGAGAGAGAGAGAAGCAGAGGGAGAAGCAGGCTCCCAAGGAGCGGGCAGCCCAATGTGGGACTCGAACCCAGGACGCTGGGATCATGCATGACCTGAGCCGAAGGCAGACGCTTAACCATCTAAGCCACCCAGGTGCCCTGTTTCTGTAAATTTAAAACTTATCTAAAAAATGAAATCTGTTTTACAAATGTGCTCACCCTTTGCCACTGAGAGACATCTGTACATGGTGGTGAGTGCATAGACTCTGGAGCGAGGTTGCTTGGGTTCAGATCCCAAACTCTGCCACTAACTGTGGTTGGTAGCCTTCAAGATGGCCTCCAGGGACCCCTGCCTCCTGACAGTCATGCCCTGTGTAGTCCTGGTCCTCATTGAATCATGCTGGCTCATGTGACTCATAGAGTGTTGTGGAAATGATGCTATGTGATTTCTGAGTCTAGCTCCTAAAAGGCACTATGGTTTCCTCCTTGCTTTTTCTCTTCGATCACTCACTTTGGGGAAAGCCAGCTGCCATATCATGAGGACACTCAAGGAACGCTGTGGAGAGGTCCACGCAGCAGGGAATTGAATCCTTCCACTAACCACCACTTGCCAGCCATGTGAGGGAGCTACCTTGGAGGTGGCTCCTCCAGCCTCAGCCGAGCTTTCAGATGACAGCTGCCCCATCTGACATTTTAAGTGTAATCTTATGAGAGACCCCTGAGCCCAAACCATGAAACTCAGCTGCTCCCCGTGGATTCCCAACCCACTGAAACTGCAAATGATAATACTTACTGCTTTAAGCCTCCAAGTTTTGGGGTAATTTGTTTCATAGCAATTGATAACTAAAGCACTAATTCAGGGGTAGGCACTCCCCCCCCAAAGGACAAGATAATAAATATTTTAGGCTTTTCAGGTCATATACAGTCTCTGTTACATAATCTTCTTTTTTTTCCAAACTCTTTTAAAATGTAAAAAAACATTCTTAGCTTGAGAGCTGTACAGAAACGAGCCATGAGCCTGTCTTCCCCTTTGCTTGCTGACTTCTTTGCTTCTCCTTTCCATTATCCTCCCTCTTTCCCCTCTCCCTTTCTTCTCTTTCATTTATTCAGTCTTTAATTCAGCAAAATGAACACCTACTGTGTGTGCCAGGCCCCGCGTGGGCTGCTGCAGTTATATCTGTGACTAAGACGCCTCTCTGCTCTCCTGGGGCTCCCAGCAGTATGGGAGACAGACAGCAAAGCTGTAAGTAAAGAACCCAGCATATCATCATGCACTGTAGCATCTACTCTGAAGGAAACAAGCAGGTTGCAGGGAGAGATAGGGTCCAAAACATCTAGCCAGGGTGGTTGGAGAAGGAGTCTTTGAGCGGAGACTGGAAGGATGAAGAGAAAGCAGTCACAGGAAAAGTGTTCTGGGCAGAGGGAACAGCTTATGCAACAGCCCAGAGGCAAGAAGGAGCTAGGAGTTTGTGGGAACCGTGGAGAAGGACAGTGTGGCTGGAGTGAGTGAGGTGGAGACTGGGCGGCCATGGGGTCAGGCTGGTGACGGGCCATGGTACAGCGCCTTGAGGGCTGTGGTGTCAGAGCAATAGGAGCTTGGGAGGGCTTTGAGCAGGGGTTGCTTGACCTGATTTTTTTCTCTGACCTGTGGATTCTAGCAGCTCCACTCTCTCCCATGGCCTCTTATCTTCCTCATCGAAAGGCCAGTGAGAATTTATTGAATATTTACTATATGCTGACACTCACAATTACTCTCCGAGGGAAGTAACGTTAAAGATGCGGAAACCAAAGCACAGAGAGGTGAGTAACCGGCTAAGGTCACACAGCCCCAGGAAGAGGTGGAGGCAGAATTTGAACTCAGGCAGTTGCCACCATGCTAGCCTATGGCCTCACAGCTCCAGCCTCCTCCCCAGGTTTCTAGCCATCAACTCAGTTCTCATCCATCAACCTCAGCTGGGCCTTCTACCTCAGGGCTGGTCAGTTCCTCTCCTGCTCAAACGTCTTCCATGGCTCCCTACTACCCTTGATAATGACTAAATCCTTTAGCCTGGTATTCAAAACCTTTTATGAAGTCAGCCCACCCAGCAGCCTCCCTGCCCCATCTTTCTCTTTCTCCCCCTTATGTCAGTCCCTCATTGACACCCCAAGATCAAGCCATCCTGGATGCCTTGCAGTCCCTTAGCACTTGGGGGTCCCTGGAGACACATGAGCTGCTGCCTTGGCTGGGCAGGTCTCCCATTCCCATCCCAGGCCACATGATGAAACTCATTCACTTTTCCTTGCCCCTTGTTTCAGCCCCCCACTTGCCTGGGGCTCCCCATCAAATCTTCCATCAGGACCAGGTACAGGGTAGGCACCAAATTCATTCATAACTCATTCATTAATTCAACAGTCATTTCCTGAGCACCTATTATGTACCAGCCCTTGCTGTATGAACCGAGAATACTGCAGTGAACAAGACAGACATGGCCCCTGGTTTTAAGGAGCTGACATTGTAAGGCAGGAGAAATGCCCATTTATTTATTTATTTATTTATTTATTTACTTATTTATTTTTAAAGGTTTTATTTATTTTATAGAGAAAGACACAGCGAGAGAGGGAACACAAGCAGGGGGAGTGGGAGAGGGAGAAGCAGGCTTTCTGCCGAGCAGGGAGCCCGATGTGGGGCTCGGTCCCAGGACCCTGGGATCATGACCTGAGCCGAAGGCAGATGCTCAACGACTGAGCCACCCAGGCACCCAGCAACATTTTTTAAAAGATTTTGAAAGATTTTATTTATTCATTTATTTGAGAGAAAGAGAGAGAAAGAAGGAGGAACAGCAGAGGGAGAGGGAGAAGCAGGCTCCCACCTGAGCAGAGAGCCTGATGCGGGGTTTGATCCCAGGACTCTGGGATCATGACCTGAGCCGAAGGCAGATGCTTAACCAGCTGAGCTACCCAGGCACCTCTGAGGAAGCAACATTTAAACATTTAAACTCTGGACTATTATTCAGGCATGAGAAAGAAGAAAGTCCAAATAAGGGAAGTGTTCAATATATTCAGATATCTGGAAGAAGGGTGTACTTGGTAGAGGGAACAGTGAGTGCAAAGGCCCTGAGGTAGGAATCAACTTGGGTGTTGGAAGGACACAGAGAAGGCCAGTGTAATTGAAATGGTGTAGGAGGGAGAGGGAGGAGGCAGGTCCCTGCAGTGTTGGGGTTGGTTGTGCAGGGTCCTTGATGAATGTTGGAGCAGGGACAAATGTATGGACTTTGGGTATGATACTCCATGCTCTTTATTTGGAGTTAAGGCCAGTGGCCTGTGCCTGCTTGGAAACAACCTCCTGAGGGCAGTAGAGACCTCAGAGTCCCAGGACTCACAGCCATGAGTGCTCATATAGTCTGAAAATCCCGTCAGGTGGTCCAGCAATTCCTTCTTGCCCACATCCCCATCGGTCGGCCACTGCATGAAGAATGTCTTCCTGCCCAGGACATAGATGTAACTGTGGGGGAGAGACGGCAAGGAGGGTGAGGAGAGCCCCGTGCCCTGGAGGCATGGAGCCCTCCCTGCTGTGCTTCTCTTCCCTGATAGGCAGCCTCCCAGGGCCAAGGCCTGTCATGCCCACTCCACAGGGCCATCTTGGGGCCCCCAGCCTGTAGCCCACATGGCTGGGGATTAAAAAAAAGTCTCCTCTTCCTCTGATTCTTTACCTCCCTCTATTGGAAAACTGAATCTTTGTCTACATCTACAGCATCTACATGCAAATAGAGTCCCCCCTCTTCCCCCCCCTCCGTTGGAATTGTGCAGTGCATGGTCAGTACCTCCCTTCAGGGCAGCCCTGAAACCTAGGGTTTCTGGCGCTGATAGGGACTGGGCTGGGGTAGGGAAGGGGGCCTACACCTGAGTCCTGGGACAGCAGGAGCCCCCACGCACTCAGATTTGACTTTCCACATGTCTGAAATTTGGCCCATGATGAGGTATGTCTCCTGTTCTTGTAGCCCCAGGGAGTCATGGCAGGTGGCGTGAGAGATGAATTTCTTCATGGTGAGGGACACAGCAGAGTCTGTGCCTGGAGGAGAGGAGACCCAATGTGTGAGCGTACACAGACCTGGCCCATTGGGATCCCCAAGGTAGAACCTCACACTGCCTCTTCTGCCCCCTTGGACGTACCCCTCTTGATGATGTCCTCGAGTTTCATGTTGTAATAGATGTAGGGACTGGAGGTGGAGGACTTCACAGACTTCAGCCTGACCTTGTACACTGGGAAAGCAGGGGCAGGAGGGTGTCCTGTTGGCATCTGGCCTGCAGGTGGACCTCCTCCTGCCTGCCGCCACTTCCCGCACTCACCGAAGTCCACGCCTGTCTCACGGGCTGCGGCCTGGAGCTCCTCCTGCCTCAGTCGGGTGTTGTCCTTCCTCGGAGATGGGCACTGTTCTGGGGGTTCAGGAGGGCAGCTGCTCTGGCTGTGCTGAGGGAGGGGGCCTCCTCCCATCTGACCCCCATCTGGCCCCAGGCCAGCCACCTCTAGGTCTCTGGGTCGGGTTGTCTCTCTTTGTCTCTGTTTTCCCGTCTCAATATCTCTCTCTGTCTAAACTCCGTCCAGACGACAGCCAGGAGGTGGTAAATGGCTCCTGGATCCCCAGCCTGGCAGCCCCCGCCTCAGTGTCCCCAGGACCTCACCCTCCGCACATCTGCAGACATCTTTGTGACAGATCTTCCGCAGGGAAGACTGCTCTGTGGGCAGGTTGTAGAAGGAGCTGCACCTCCGGGCTGAGAGAGGGGCGTGTGCCTGGGGTCGGCTTGGGCCAGCGTTCCTGGGGACCCCTGGCTCCGCCCTCGAAGCCCCCCCAGCCCCTCACCCCACCCGGCCCTGCCCAGGCACTCCCTCCGCAGGCCCCTCCCCCTTGAAGACTGCTCTTCTTGCCCAGCGGGGCCGAGCCCAGTCACTTCTCCGTCCCATCCCCTTCCAGACTCCCCACAGCTTTGACCAGCCAGGAAGGCCACGCCCCTTATCACCACACCCCTGTCGGTCCCTTTCAGCACCCTTCTCCGTACTCTCCCCCCCATGCCCAGGCCCCTCTCAGCCACGCCCCAAGCCCCCTTCCCGGCCCTGCCCCTCATCCCTCCCTCCTGACCCAGTCCTTCGCAGTCCCCTAGCGGGATACCCCTCCACGCCCCAACCCCTACCCGTGCTTACAAGGCTCATAGTAGTCATATATGGTGACCTGAGCGGCCTGCAGGAACTCCACCTGCAGCATCCTGTGGACCCGGAAGCCCAGCACTGTGTCTTCCTTGTGGGAAAGCTGGGGGTCGGGGACGGGAAGGGAATCCTGTCTGAGCTGACCAGGCCACTGATCATGGGGCATTGACCACAGGGCCTTGACCAAAGCACTGACAACGTGGCCTTGCAGCCTGGGGAGCTGACCTCAGGCACCATGATTCTCTGGTAACACTGCCCAAGGCGCTGACCATGGATTCTGTGCTCACCAGGCTGCCCATAGGCCTCTGGAGGGCGCCACCCAGGCTTCCTTACCTTCTCCAGGTAGAGGACAACAGTGTTGTCACTGGAATTCATCTTGGTCTCATACTGGAAGGCATACATCTCCACATCACCATCACAAAGCTGGGGCAAAGGGTGAGGACTGCAGGTTGGCAGAGACCCCCTGAGGTCCCCAGCTCTAGGAACTCTAGTCAGTGTGAAGTAACTCTCAAGCTTCCAGCCCTTGTCCTACCAACACCAGTGTCGGGGAAACTGAGGCACAATCAGGGCAAGGATTTGTCTAAGGTCATGGAGGGAGGCAATCAGAGGTGATCATGGCTACAGAACACGGGGCATTAACCTGGGGACCTTGACCCCTGTGCTCACACGGGGAGTGTGGGATGTTGCTAGGGCAGCCCCACCCTGCTCAGGAGTAGGCAGGTGGGACCTCCATTACCTGTTTGAGGTCATTCTGGTTGGGGTAGAAGCCGGTGAGCAGGGAGACCTCTATGATGCTCACTGTGGCCTCTCGATTTCCCTGGGACCTGGGGATTTCACAGCTCCAGTATCTCTTCCCACTCTCCTCCTGCCTCTGCCCAGTGCTCCTACCGCCATCATTGTTCTCATGCCTGGAGGAAGGCAGTCAGCAGCCTCCTCCTGGATCTCCCCATTACTCCTCTGCCCTCAGCAAGCTTACAGATTTAGCAACTGGGAGTCTGATGGGTTGCTTCCCTGCTTAACAACATTTACCAGGCGTCTTGTCTCACCCTTCCGCTTCACCTCCTCTCAGCCCAGCCTTCATGTGATTGCTTCTCAGTGTCTCTCTCCTGCACTGGACCTTGGCACATGCTGTGACTCTTTGCCTGGAGTCCTCACTCCTTTTTCTATCCTGAAACATCCTTGCATCTTTGCAATTTCCACTGATCCATCACTCCCTCTGGGAAGCCTTCTCCAGCCTATGCACCGAATCATTCTCTAATTTGCTCTCCCGTAGCTCCTTGGATCTCTCCTTTGCCATATTTAGTCACAGTTGTCATTTTACATTGATTCTGGATGACTTTTGTTATTGTCTATCTCCCCTGAGATACGCTATGAGCTCCACCAGGCAGAGGAGCTGCCTTGTTCACACTGTACCCTCGGTTCCTAGAACAGAGCCTGGCATTCAGCAGATGCTCAACACATGTTTTTATCTGGGGCGGACCTGGGTGAGGGCATCTGGGAGACAGGGCAGAACTGGGGTGAGGGCTGGGATGTCTCGAGAAGATGAGGACGGAGAGAGCTGTGGGCTTAGAACCAGTTCTGGGCATCTGGGACATAGAGCATGTCTGCCGTGATGGAGCCCACCATCCCAGGACATGGCAGGTTGAGGGACAGGACTGGGGAGCAGGTTGGTAGACAAGCATGGGCGGGCAGGGTGGGAGGCAGGCAGGGGAATGGGCAGGGGAGGGCAGGATGGGTGGTAGGATGCGGGAAGCATGGAGAAGGAAGCATGGCTGGTTCCCACCCTCCATTCAACACGTAAGGAGTCTGGATACCAGGAAGTGAGGCCTTCCTCCTGCCCAGCCCAAGATCCTGGTGCCCTAACCTTGTCTCTGTCTGGAGCTGGAAGGTCTCTTCCCCCTTTTTATTATCTGCAGAGAGAAGGCAGGAGTTTAGAGGCTGGGTAACACAGCTTCCTGGGTTCAAATCCTGGCTCTGTTGTGTGACTTTGAGCAAGTTGCTTAAACTCTCTGTGCTTTAGTTACCTGATCTGTAAATGGAGAGCATAATATTCTCAACCCAGCAGAGTTGTAGGATTAAATGAGTTAATACAAGTAAAGCACTTAACACAGTGCCTTATTAGTGCTTTATAACCGTCAGTTATTGTTACTACCATTACTATTACTACTACTACTACTGTTATTATTATTATTATTATTAAGAAATGCAACCCGAGGGCGCCTGGGTGGCTCAGATGGTTAAGCATCTGCCTTCGGCTCAGGTCATGATCCCGACGTCCTGGGATCGAGTCCCGCATCGGGCTCCCTGCTCCTTGGGAGCCTGCTTCTCCCTCTGCTTCTCTCTCTCTCTCTCTCTCTCTCCCCCCCTCTGTCTCTCATGAATAAATAAATAAAATCTTTTTTTTAAATAATTTTTTTAAAGATTTTATTTATTTATTTGAGAGAGAGAATGAGAGAGAGAGAGCACGAGAGGGAAGAGGGTCAGAGGGAGAAGCAGACTCCTCGCCGAGCAGGGAGCCCGATGTGGGACTCGATCCCGGGACTCCAGGATCATGACCTGAGCCGAAGGCAGTCGCCCAACCAACTGAGCCACCCAGGCACCCTAAATAAATAAAATCTTAAAAAAAAAAAAAAGAAATGCAACCCGAGCCAAAGCCTTGGTCACATTTAGTCCCTTAAAGTCCTGGGGCTGTTGAGGGTTATTCCTCTCATTCCTACGGTGAGCTCCCAATGGCAGAGTCTTGTCTCTTCCTCCTTGGTACCCCAGACTAGGAACTCTAGAATCCCATTTTGATCATCTCCACAGCCCCCTACCCCAGTTCAGCACCCATCATCTCCTGCAAGACCAGTGCAGTCATCTCCTCCCTGGTCTCCCAGCTTCTGCCCCTTGCCCTCTACAGTCTGTGCCAGAAGGAGCCTGTGCAAACCTGTGCTCCATCATATCCCTCCTCTGCTCAGAACCTTCTATAGCTCCCACTTCACTCTGAGCAAAAACCAAAGTTCTCACTGTGGCCCATGAGTCCCTACACCATCTGCCCCCATCACCTCTCCAACTCTTTTTCCTAAAACTCTACCCCTTGCTCTTCTGTGGCCACAATGGCTTCTTCAAACCAGGTGAGCTCATTCTTGTCTCCAGGCCTTTGCACCTGCTGTTCTGCCTGCCTGGAATGCTATTCCCTCAGATCCTTCCTGGCTCATTCTCTCATTTCTTTCATGTCTGAGCTCAAATGCCATCTCCTCAGAGTGCTTCCCCTGGACCCCTTCCAAGTGTGTATCACCTTTTCCTGCTTTATTTTGTATGGTAGTTATCATCACCTGTTAGTGTGCTATATATTTATTTTTTATAATGCAGATTGTTATAAATAAATAGCAGTAGGAGTATAATTTATTTATTGTTGTATTATTGTTTGTCTCCCCCTACTAGATTGTGGGCTCCAGGAGAAGAAGGGGTATTTTTCTTGTTCATGCCGGTGTTCCCAGAGTCCAGAAACAAGGCATGACACATAGTAAATGCTCAATAAATATTTGTTGAAGAGTTGAATAAGGCAACACATGTGCTTACTGAATGAAAACTAAAATAAAATAATAAAAAAGAAGGTCTGGGAATCCCTGGGTCTATGCTCACCTTCCAAGGTACTACAGAGAGTCACATTCAGGTGGTGCAGGTTGCAGGTGCCCTCCCCAGACTCTGGGAACCTTGTGGTACATGGTCAGGATCTGCCAGGGCAGGGAAGGTGTCAGAGATCATTCCCACCCACTCCCTTCCTTCTCATTCCAGTCCTCGCCTATCCAGGTTCTGCCCCTGTGGATAAGTCACAGCAAAGTCTGTGCCCCCCAAATTTCTGGATGCAGTGACCAGAACACTCTTTAGAGTCTAGACCACCTCTGTGTAGTAGGACTTTCTGCAGTAATTGAAATAGTCTATACCTGTCCATATGGTAGCCACTAGCCCCATGTAGCCATTGAGCACTTGAAATGTGGCTAGTGCAACCGAGGAACTGAATTTTTAATTTTACTTAATTTAAATTTAACGGAGGCTCATGGAGGAGTTGGACATGCCCAAAGTCACACAACAAAGGCAGAGATTCAACTGTGACTCCATTGCCAGAAATATGAAAACAGGCTGTTCAAATTTAGTGAACAAGAGGTCTGTCCTCCTGGGCCACAGGGCATGGCACCAGAAGATATAATGGAGCCCCTAGATGTTGGGGGAAAGGGTGGAGTCATTCTCCGGGCATTGGAAGGCATGCTGGAGGGAGAATCTTCCTTTGGGGAGGTGAAGAAAGAGACACTCCTTCAGGGACTCAGCATGACAGGTCTAAAAACCTCTGGCCTCTACCTCTCCTGACTCTTGACTCATAATAAGTGAAGACTTTTCTGAGTCTATTTCCCCACCTGTTAAATGGAGTCCATATTTTTACCAACTTTCTAGGGGCAGGTTTCGAGGTGTCCTTAACAAATAGTAGTGCCCTAAATGGTAGCTGGAAATATTGCTGATTTCAATCTTGTCTTACAATAGACTGTCTCTATTCCCACCAGCAAGGGTGGTGGTGGTGGTGGTGGTGCTGGGCTCCAGTTAAGGACCTCATGGTGGGACACCAGACCTACCGAGATTTTGCCTCTCCCACTGCCACTGGCTTTGATCTCTAGGTCATCCTGGGCAGAGAACTGAAAGGAAGCAAGAAGAGGATTTGAGCACAAAGGAAGCAGCAAAACATGGCTCAAATGCAACAGGGTCGGGGAGGAAAGCAAGTATGGGCAGTGAGGCCTCAGTAATTTCCCTAACTTGGGGTCTAGTGACTCACTGCCCCCTCTCCCCACACAGATGGTTTTACTTTTTCTTTTTGATAGAGCGTTTGTGGTATCTACACTGTCACAGATCAACTACAACTGCCAACTCAGGCTCTGTCCTAATGTCCTAATGTACATCAGTTCAGTCTGTTCAAGTGTCTACAGAGTTCCTTGCACATGGAGCCACCACAAGATTCTTCTCCCTGGCATCTCTGCATCTTGTTTCCATCATACATTGTTCCTTATCAGCCAGAAAAAATTTTTTTACAAATTCACATCCGTTCTCATCACCCCTGCTTAAACCCCATTGCTATTCTTGGGATACTTCTGCCTCAGGGTCTTTGCTCCTGCTGTCTCCTCTGTTTAGATAACCACAAAGCTCACTCCTTCCTTTCCTTAAGGTCTTTGCTCAAATGTTACCATCTTGGTGAGAACTTCCCTGCCCCTCCTATCTAAAATTGCAACTCCTTGATGTGCCCCCCCTTTCTGCTTAAGTTTTAGCTATAACACTTGCCACCATGTAACACACAACATATGCTACTTACTCACATCTCTTTATTGTCTGTCTCACCCATTGAAATATAAAGTTCTACAGGGAAAGTGATTTTTTAATGTCTCATTCATGGCTGTATTCCCATCACCTAGAATAGCGCCTGGCATACAATGAGTGCTCAATAAAGTTGGGTCAAAGGATTGAAAGTAAATATCACTTCCTCCATGGAGTAAGGCCATGGAGATTATCTTCTTCCTCACATCCAGGATATTTTCCCCTTTACACACATTTATTTTCCCTATGTCCAGAAAGCTTAAAATACTTTTTGTCTTAGTTTCTTTCTACACTGTAAGTTTCATGTGAGCAGAGGCCACAGATCTTTCATAATGCATCCCCGTTGCCCAGGAGAATGACTGGCACACAGTAGGTGCTCAAGATATGGTGGAATAAATGAGTGAATACATTGACAGTATAGACACTGTTTGTGAGATAGTCTTGGAGAGGGAGATTGGCAGGGACATGACTCTTGGCCTCATCCCCAATGCCGCCTCTGTATGGCCTTCCTGTCTGCCCCTCAGTGCCCTACCTTTGCTGACCGCTGCTGGTAGGCATTGTTCCGATCGATGATCCACTCCAAGTCCAAGGCTTTCTCGGGGACGCTTATCTGGACGCGGAGATCCTGGACACCATCGAAAGGGACAGCTTCGCGGAAGTGGGTGAGGGCTTCAAGGGCCACCACAGTAGTCTAGGTGTTGGGATGGGGCCGCGGATCAGCACCACTGACCCAACGCCCCGGGAACCCGCACCGTGGCAAATCAGCACCACGGGTAGCTCCTTCCGGTGGGCTGGCCTTGTCAGCACCTCGGCTAGCGCCCCTCCCCCCCAACCCCCTCTTTCCGAGGCTCGGGTCACCTGGGTGGACTTGAAGCCTCCGCCTAGCTCCCGCTTCTCCAGTAGCCACTTGGCAATGGCGTGCGTCTCATTGTGCCGACCCAACACCACCTTCTGCATCAGCGCATAGGCCGTGGCCTCAATGGTGTACAGGGAGTTCTTGTCCAGGGGGCTCTTGGGCCAGTGGGTTTTATCTAGGGGATGGATGACCACTTTGTCTCCCCAAACTGGGCCCATCTACCGAAACCTGTTCTCGCCTTCTGTCATCTGACCCAAATTTCTCATCCACTATTTTATTGAGCACTTACTTTATATGAAACTCTTTAAGGAGGCATATGGACATTTTATTTTTGGAACAGGTATCTCCTAGATGTCTAAGAGACAGGGACTCTAACTATTTAGAGATGGGGAAACTAAGGTTCAGAGAAGCCCCTCCAAGTCCCAGCAGTTTTCCTAATTCCATTCCTCTTGAGTTGGAGGAGGATGGGATAAGGCTCATTGGGCAGGCCATCGGTTAACCACATTTTATGACCTTTTTTCCATCTTTGACCACCATGTCAAGCACTTTGCCAGTTCAGGGCATTTGCACATGCCATCTTTTATTCCAGCTGAGGCATTCCCTTTTCACAGAGGCCTTCCCAGTTCCCCAATCCATTCTCCTCTTCCCACATCATCTCTCCCACCCATCTTCTATGTTATCATCTCAGTGCTTGTCTCAATTTGTAGTTGATCTGTTTGTTTTTTGCCTGCTTCCCCCAGGGATGGTGGGACCTTTGAGAGCAAGGACCATATCAGTGTTGTTGACCTTGGTTTTTCAGAGTCTGAGCTCAAGAGTTGGCACACCATAGATGCTCAATAAACGCTAAGGTGATGAGTCACACATTGCTGAATTTGAAATCATACAATCCCCCTCCCCGTGCCCCCCATGACTGTGGTAAACACAGAGTTAACACAAATAAGTGGCCCACACTCATCATGGCTGGCAAAGCCGTCCAGGCGGTCATGGGCTCGGGGGCTGTTGGTGAGGGCCAGAGCATAGGAGACTATGGCTATGGCAAAGGTTGTATTAATTTTGGGAAGGCGTTCCTCCAGAAAGCTACGGGCTTGCTCCATGCTGGCAGGCAAATTCTAGAAAGTCAGAGAGAGCAAACTAGAGGGGGGCAATTAGAGGAAAGGGGTCTAGGAGTTAGAAGAGAGGGATGCATGGGGAGGGACATGACGATGGGGGAACTTCTGTGGGCAGAGGATCTAGAGGGCTCTGCAGAGCCTGCCCTCCTCTTGGAGACTTACCGGTATCTCCTGGCTGCACACGTACCTCCCCTCATCCAGGGCAATCAGGACAAGAGCTGTGAGGGATATGTCTGCTTCAGAGCCTCGGTAGCCACCCTGTGGATGCAGGATCACACCCATGATCCCCCTAGTGTCTTGGAGAGACTTTTCCCAACCTCTCCTGTGTGCCCTTGAAAAGCTCCCACGTGCTCGGCTGTGGGCTGGAGGATGCTGAAAGCAGGATGGGGAGAGAGAGGAGGAGAAGGAATCACCTCAAGATTTGCCTGTGTGGGGTCAGCATTACCAACCTAAGCCAACAGCCATGGAGGGTGATGTGTTACACTCTACACTATCTCAAAGCATTCTTTCAGCAACTCCATTTTCCTGATGAGGAAAGTTGTGGTCAGAGAAGTGGTCACCTCATTGCTGGTAAATGACTGATTTAGGGTTTAAGTTCCTCTTTAGTCTTCCAATTCCACCTTCAGCCTTTGTACTGGGTTGAATAGTGTCCCCCCCAAAAAAAATTCATGTCCACTCAGAACCTCAGAATTGATCTTACTTGGAAATAGGGTCTTTGCAGATGTAATTAGTTAAATTAATAGGAGGTCATACTGATTAGAGTGGACCCCATCCAGTGACTAGTGTCCTAAAAGAAGACCATAAGAAGACCCACAGAAGGAAGGAGGGCAAATGAGGATGGGGACAGAGGTTGGAGTGGAGCAGCTAGAAGTCAAGGAATGCCAAGGACTGCCCAGAGGCCATCGAGCTAGAAGAGACAAGAAAGGACTCCCCCCCCAGGGCCTTCAGAAGGAACATGGCCCTGCTGACACCTTGATCTGGGACTACTAGCTTCCAGAACTGTGATAAAATAAATACATTTCTGTTGTTTTGAGCCATCCAGTTTGTGGTACTTTTTACAAGAGCCCCAAGGAATTAATTCCCACCCCACCATCTCTTCTTCCCATGGTGGCCAATGAAGCTTGTGAACTCTTGAATCAAGTTGTATCCCTCCTGGGTTCAAAACCCTCCATGGCTCCCATCTCACTCAGAGGAAAAGCTCAAGTTCTCCCTGCAGCGCCAGAGGCCCTGCACCATCTGTCCCACTCCCTCCCTCAGCTCTCCTCCTCACCCTCTCCTCCAGGGTTGCTCACTCTGTTCCAGCCTCCTCACTGTTCCTCAAACATACTGGGCACTTCCAGTCTCAGGGCCTTTGCACATGTTGTTTCCTCTGCTTGGAACACTCTTTCCCTGATTATCCACATGACTTGCTCCCTCACCTCCTCAGGTCTGTACAAACGTCATCTCTTCACGAAGCCTCCAAAATAACACCCCATCACCTTGATTCCCCCTTCCCTGCATCTTTCCCCATGTCACTTCTGCCATGCATGCCACATCACTTAGGTCTCTCTCGTGCTCATCGCCTGTCCTTCCTCCATGAGAGTGTCCACCCATGAGAGAAGAGATTTTTATTTTTGTCTATTTTGTTTGCCCAGGGTCCTCAGTGCTTAAAGCAGTGCCTGGCACATTGTAGATGCCTGGTAAGTGTTTGTTGGTAGAAAGAAACTCCTTTCTGTGAGCCTGTGAAACCTGTTTGTAACCCCTCTCTGTACCACCTCTCTGTACAGCATCTGGCTCCTGCTCACACAGGCTTCCCAACTCCCTAACTGCTCTCTTTATCTGGGGTTGCAATCTGTCTTTTCTGGGTTCATGCATTCACCCAGAGTTTTATTCAGCAAGTATTGGCCAACTATGATGAATCAGACGTGCTTCCCCCCACTGGAAGGACTCACAGTGCAGGGAAAGCAAACCTTGAACAGGCTATTTCAAGTCCTCATTGAAGCCACCAAGGCCCTGCAGGTTTCAGGGCCTGGCATCTCTCCTACCCTCTCAGGCCTCAGGATGGACTACCCCCTTTCCCATCTTTGGGCTCTGGTCTCTTCCTTTTCCTCAAACATGCCAGAGCCTCAGGGCCTTTGCATGTGCTGCTCCCTTTGCCTGGAGCTCTCTTTCCCATTCTTTCCCCACCAACTCTATTCCTTCTTTAGGTTGCTGCTTTGTTGTCCCTTCCTTTTGCAGGTTCCCTGACCAGGCATGGCCCCTATTAAATACTCTCTCCTGGTATTTCTTTCCCATGGAACTTAGCACAGTTTTGATTTAAACAATCACTAGTTATAACCATTTGGCTAACTTCCATCTTCCTCCCACACCCCAGCTTGTGAGTACTACAAGGCAGGGGTAAATGTGTAAATGTCTTGCTTACTGCTATGCTTCCCTTCTGTCTAGTACAAGGCCTGGTACACAGCAGTTGCTGGACAGATGTCTGTTGAATGACTGAATGGCATCCCTACTGTCATGGGTGCAATAATAGAGATACAGGGCTGGTATTCAGGGGAGGCCCCTGGAGGAGGTTAAATCTAAAGAGAAAACACAATTTGGCCAGCCAAGGAAAAGAAAAAGTGATGGGGGCGTGGCTGTTCCATGCGGAAAGAGCAGCAAAGGCACAGTGAGTTGGAGGGATCTGTGATCAGGGAGTAGTGAGGGGTAAGGCTTGTGGGGAGATACAGAAAGGAGGGATATAATAGAGAGATACCATCATAGACACCTGTGAGCTACGGAAGGTGTTTGAACAGGGGAGAGACATCCCAGACTGTTTGAAAGCTATTTCTGGAGGTAGATGTGGAGGAGTATTTGGTAGGGATGGCTGTGTTGGCTGGGAGGTTGAAAAGACTCAGCCCAGAGGAAGGAGAGCCAGGACTGGAGACACTCAAAGTGAAGTGGGCACATCACGGGGTCCCAGATGTGCCCAGCCTCTCTGACATTGTAACAGAGTCCAGGGAGGTCCAGAGCAGAGGGATGTGATGCTGGGTGCCGGGCCCTGGCTTTTGCCTGTTCTCATTTTACCTGCAAACAGGTCAGGGGCCCGAGATTCACCCCATCAGTGCGTAGAGCCCTGGATTTGAACAGCCCAGGAGCGGGGAGGGTAGTGGGCACCCGCATTGATGCCATGATCACAGGGCCATTCTCCAAGAAGTGCCCATCCTCTGCCTGCCTCTTGGTGATGATCCAGTTGGCAGTGGCACAGAGAGAATGCAGATCAAACGTGCTGGTTGTCATGATAGAGTAGGCCAGGGCAAAGACCGGGAACACGTAGCTCGTGAGCCTGTCAGGGGGGGAGATGGGGTGGGTGATGACTGGGAATAGCAGCCAAGGGGATTCAAAGACAGGGGCTTCTACACTAGGGGGAGTCTACACCTGCTGTTCCAGACTGACCCTTCATTTGCTGCTCTCCAGATCTAGCAGCATGGACACTAACCCCTCTCTCCGACATTCAGACAGAAGCTCTCTATTCAGGTGCTCTCAGCAATAACCCCTGTGTAACCCCCAGACACTATCACCCCCAAAGTTACCCCCAAACCCTAAACTCCCAGGTAACCCTCAGGTAAAACCCAAGTAGCAATACTTCTGGCCCAGAAGCTGCCTGCCCCAAGCCCCTGCTGCACGGGTGTTCCTAGGGTCATTAAGCCCCAGGCTGGCCCTTGGGCTTCATTCAGGGTGGTTGTGGCAGGACTGCCAACATCCCCATCCTTACCAGGTGCTTCCCGGGTGTCCGTTGCTGATGTGGTAGGTGCCATGTGCACTCCGGTGGGTCAGCATGTGGGTGTAACCTGGGGAAATGGGTGGAGGAGAATTTTCAGGGTTGATTTGGCATTTGGGTGTGGCTATGAAGGGGAGTCAGTTATCAGGCATAATCTGGGGGTAAGATGTGGGTGTGACTTGGGGGTGCATCAAATCTAGGTCTAACTGTAGGAGGGAACTTGTCTAGGTGTATCAGGAGGTGGCCGCAGGGCCCAGGTGTGACTGTGGGAGCCAGTGTCCAATGTCATCTGGGAGTAACCTGGGAAATCAAAGGGTGTGACTGGGAATTTCTGCTCAGAGGGATTGTGGAAGGTGGAACCCAGGAAAGGGGTACTCTGGGGGCCACTACCTGGGAGTTTCCTTGACGGTTGTTTCTTGGCTATAAATTAGGGGTATCACTGTGTCTGTGCAGTTTAGGGGAGGCTACTCCTGGGTGTAATCTCGGAGGCATACCTCTCAGGTGTATTCTTTTTTTTTTTTTTTTTTTTAAGATTTTACTTATTTGACAGAGAGAGAGACAGCGAGAGCAGGAACACAAGCAGGGGAGAGGGTCAGAGGGAGAAGCAGGCCTCCCGCCGAGCAGGGAGCCCGATGTGGGACTCGATCCCAGGACCCTGCGATCATGACCTGAGCCGAAGGCAGACGCTTAACGACTGAGCCACCCAGGCGTCCCCTCAGGTATATTCTAAGTGTTGCTACTTAAGTATTACCTGAAGGTTGCCTGGGAGCTTACTGTTTGGGAGTAACTTTGGGGGTGATAGTGTCGAGGTGTTACCTGAGGGTTGTTGTTGAGAGCACCTGGATGGAGAGTTGGTGTCTGAGTGTAATCGGGAAGAGGGGTCAGTGCCCAGATTAACTGGAGGGTCTCTGTCTGGGTATAACCGGGAGTGTGCATCTCTGGTTGTTACCTGGGAGGTGCGGATATAACCTGGAAAGGGGTAATGGGGAGGCCACCACCTGGGATTATTCTGGAGTTTTCTGCTTGGGGGTTCTCTAGGGGTATAACCCAAGGCATGTCACTGACTGGGTGTAACCTAGGACAGTGTGTGAATATAACAAAACCTGAGTGCTGCTGCTTTGGGGGTAAACCAGGGTGTCTGTTGTCAGACTGTAGTCTGGGAGAGGGGTCCAGATGAAGGAGCACCTGGGGGACATGGTACCAGGTTGTAACCTGGGAGATGAGTCAGGGTATGAATGTTGTCGGGGAGAGTCCCCTGGGGGCCACACCCAACCCTGACGGTACCCCAGCCACCCTTCCAGAGAGTCCCGGAAACCCTCATTGAGGTCCCAGGAGGGAACCCCTCTTACCTCTGACGATGTTCTGTATCACCTGCTCCCTGAGTTCCGCTCCAACCTTGCCTCACTGGCCAGCAGCATCCAAATAGCAGCTCAGGATGATCACAGGTGCCAATTTGCTCAGCGTCTGCTCAGGGCAACCAGTCGGGACCCTCAGCAGCTGCCATTTTTCTCCAGGTGTCAGGGTGCCCAGGATTGTCTCGCCAAGGATGTCACCTATCAGATGAGCAGAATCATCTCGGGAATGGCCTAATCCATCATGGCTTTCTGATCAGCCCACATGGGCACCCCAGCCCCTCCCGCCCCTGTGCCCAGGCAGGTGTGGGAGGAGCCAGCTCCCCAGTCTCCCAATCCCTCCCCCCAGGAGTCATCTCTGTTCTAAGCACCTTGGACACTGACAAACACTTCTGCCTCTGTATTGGGCACCATGTTCAAAAAGTTCTGTTTTGGCACCACTTCCATCTGGGTTTGACCTAGGTTGAGCAGGCACAACCCTCTGTGACAAGCAGATTCTGAGGCTGGGGAGGTCAGGGTGTGCAGAGCCGGGAGGAGCTCAGACTGCCCACCTGGCTGGACCCCCTCATTTCAGCTCCTCCCTCCATCCTGATGTGGCCCTAGGATCCCACATGCTCCCCGCAGACCCCACAAACCTTGGGGGTTCAGGAGGATGCTATGGGATATTTGCTGTATCTGCCCTCCCGCCTGTGAGATGTAATGATGAAGCAAGTTAAAAACAACAGCAATAATACTAATAATGACAATCACAATGACAGTAGGGGGAGGTATTGGTTAACTATAAAGAGCACAGACTCTGGATCCCAAGTATCTGGGTTCAAATCCCAAGTCTTCTCTGTTCTAGCTGTGTGACCTTGGGCAAATTACTTAACCTCTCTGTGCCTCCGTTTTCTCGGCCATAAAAGGCTCCTACTTCATATGGTTGTTCTGATGGCTCAATGAGTTACTGTTCTTAAAGTGTTTCCATCATAAGTGCTGAACATGTGTTTATTAAGTAAATAAATCAAGTAAATAAGAGAAGTAAATAAAGTATTATTAATGGGTTGTGCACAACCAACATGAGATATAATTTTCACAGGTCTCTGATTATTATTCACAGGTCTGGGTGTGATGATGGTCACACCTTGCAAATAAGGAAACAAAGGCTCAGAAAAGTTAAGTAACTTGTCCAAGGCCACACAGCAGAGACGAGGCTTGAACCCACCCTGACAACAAAGTCCCATAGGGGGAGCTCTGTGACTGAACTTTCAAATCCATTCTCTTGCACCTCACTCCCATCTGAGAGACCTGTTTGTCGATCCCAGGCATACCCGTCCATCCTGTGATCACACCCTGGGAGCCCCGGGGAAGCCCTCTGTCTGCACCAGTAACAGAAGGTGGGGGCACCCATTACCTTGACCAGAAGGGTCTTCCTTATGTGGTCCTCAACCTCAGTTGTTCTAATCCTGACCTCCACATCCACTTTGCCTATCTCAAGTGGGAGAAGCACAAAGGGCACCATCTTGGAGGAGGTGGGGGGCATGACCACCCCCCGGCGGGAAGGGGCTTCTGGCTTGGATGCGCTGCACAGCGCCTCCTTGTGGGGGAACTCCACACGGACCTGGGGCAAGGTGGGCAGTTGGGTGGTCTAGGACCCTAGTCACAATTCCCTCCCTCTCCCCACCCTGAAAATCCCAAGTAAGTGACAGCACAGCATAGTGGTTGAGAGCAAAGACTTTGCCTGACACTTACGTGTTGTGTGACCTCAGGAAAGCCCCTTCACCTCTTTGTGCCTCAATTTCCTCACTTCTACACCAAAAACCACGATAGCAGCCATCTGCTGGGATTATTGTACATCTTAAGTGAGAAAATACCCCAGAAGCTTTTTAAAAGAGCAACCACTTCACTGGCCCGCTCCAACCCCTTTATAACACACACCGATGGATGGTTTGAGAGGAGGGGAGGGCTCAGGCTTCACCTTGACCTGCTCCATCCTGAAATTGTACAGCACAGCTTGGATCTGGACCTGCTCATTCCTGACCACGGAGGAGGGCAACTTGAGATCCACAAAGAATGATTTCTTAACTGTCAGCTCAAAGGGGTCTGAGATGCAGAGCCCTAGAGCCAGGGGAGTATGTTGGCATTAAGCAGAGGCCAGCTGTCCCAGGGCTGGGCAGGACCACCATTCTCCCAACTCCTCAGCCCTGGGCTTGTGGGGTCACCTTGTCCAGGCTTGAGGCTGACAGCCACCAGCTGCCATGTGGTGATGGAATCTGGCACATTCACAAGAGTGCTGTAGTGGGAGATGTCTCTGGCGGGGAAGGGGGGCATTAGTGAGTTTGTGCTCAGAGCCTCTGCACTGGGGGTCACTGTCCAGGGGTTAGTGGGTCGCTAGAGGGTCGTCCTTTTGGGGGAACCACTGGGATTTGTATGCCCCTCCAGGGCGGTTATACTGACTATACCGAGAGCTCAGTGTCACCAGTGGGGGCACTGGCTATGATTGACATCCACTGATGCCTGGGAGGGCCAGGGACCAGATGCTGCTGTGGGGGCTGTGGTCCTACCCTGATGTACTTTTCGGCAGTTTAAACTTCATCCAGAGCCAACTCTCAGGGAACAAGGTTCGGATAGGCTGGTCCTCCAGGAAGATGTCAATTCCAAGTCCTCATCTTCATCCGCTTCAGGGAGAGGATGTGGGGCAGTGTCCCTTCACATCTCTCCCATGGTCCTCCCACCCCATCCCGTTGTGGCCCATATCTCCCCTTGGCTTGTCCCATGGCACTTCGCACCCTTTGGGCAAGCCCCAACCGCCCCCCCCACTGCCGCCGCCTCCTGCCATGGCCTCCTTACATGTCCCCAAAAGCAGCTGCTCCTCCCGGGCGTCCTGAGTCAGGGCCTCAGACAGACGGCAACAGCTCAGGAAAGCAGCAAAACAGGTTGGTCCCTGGCGGACATGCCGGGTCCTCTCTTCACACGACAGCCCCACCGGGCTCTCTCGGAGCCCAGCCTCACAGCACTTTTGCTCTAGCTCTGTCTTGAACTTGTTCACCGTGGGCCAGAGTTAGAGTGACTGAGGGGGTGCTGAGCGGGACCGGAGGAAGCTGGGACCCATCTACCTCAATGCCACATACACCTGGTCTCTCTGTATCCATAACTCTGGCAGTTGTTGGTCCTAGCACTTTACCTGTATCTTCCTCCTGAAGCCTCACATTGAACCCATGTGGCGGGTTCTGCTGAGGAAGCTAAACAACAGAGAGGTTAATTCACTGGCCCGTGGTCACACAGCTCCCAAGGGGCAGAGCTGGGACTAGAATCCATGCTGCTGCTTCTCTTTTTCCTCCTCCTCCTCCCCTCCCTCCTTGGCAGGGATTGGTAATGCCATGTTTTCATATTAGAGATACCATTTCAACTTCTTTTTTTTTTTAAAGATTTTATTTATTTGAGAGAGAGAGTGCACACAAGCAGGGGGAGGAGCAGAGGGAGAGGGAGAAGCAGACTCCCCACTGAGCAAGGAGCCCGACATGGGACTCGACCCCAGGACTCTAGGATCATGACCTGAGCCGAAGGCAGATGCTTAACTGATGGAGCCACCCAGGCGCCCCATCATTTCAACTTCTGATTTTCATCATGTGTTTTTAAAAAATCAAAACATAAAACTTGTTGTAAAGCATAATGTCAAGTTGAATGCTTCTAAGTTAGCAAACTGAAGGCATACACTTAAAGATAAAAATATAGCAATTCAGGGGCACCTGGGGGGCTGAGTTGGTTAAGCGTCTGACTCCTGGTTTCAGCTCAGGTCATGATCTCAGGGTCGTAAGACTGAGCACTCAGCATGGAGTCTGCTTGAGAGTCTCTTCCTCTCCCTCTCCCTCTGCTCCTCCCCCTGCTCACACACACTCTCTCTCTCTTTAAAATAAATAAATAAATAACTTAAAATATATAGCAATTTAAAAATCTTATTGTTTACCACTGACATAAATTATAGTTAAATGATACAACTTATCATTACCATAAACAAAACAACGGCTTATATTATAAACTTTTCCCAGGGGGTTAGCATAATTTTCTTTAATACGAAAATTAGAGTTAAGGTTTTGTCTCAATTTCTATTAGGTTTCACTTACTTTCTCTTTATTTAGATCCACAAAGTCATTAGCACTGTTCAAAGAGACTGAAAAATCTAAGATTCGTAGAACCCATGCTTCCAACACCACTCAGTGCTGCCTCCCATCTTCCCTGAACTCCAGGCTCACATCTTACTCTGGTCCACACCCTGGCCTTGGGGATGGTAGGTTTGCTATTATCCACTGGTACCCAGCATCCATCTCTCCTTTTGTCTACATTCACTCTTGTATCACAAAGTCTAGACATCTAGAAGCTGCATTTCCCAGACTCTCTTGCTGCTAGGGTTCTAGATGGGATAAGATTCTGCCACAGAGACACTCTTGTGTAAGATTTGGAGGGTGGAAGAAGTGGAAGCCATTTTTCCTGTGGCAGTGGTAGCTGACAGGTGAACCCCGGTCACAGGTGAACTCTGTGTGTTTTTGTAATAGGCACTGTTTCTGCACTTTGTTATCTACCCACCAGCATCGCAAGAGATATTGGCAGAAGTTTCCCGAGATTTCACACATTGCAAAACTGCAGTGGATCTTGAGTCCCAGCAAGCAGCCTTTTGATGTCCACTCCTACAGACCATCTAACGATTTTGAAAGCACCGGACTCCCATCACCACATCCCTCCCTCTCTGCTTGAAGTACATGGAGTGGTTTCAGTTTTCTCTTCTAAGCTCTGATGAATACAGTAGTTTAGGGAGCCAGGAGGGACATGTCCAGCTTTAGCTCTGACCTGCATTCCTTTTGGTCTCCAGCCATTTCAAGGAGCGGCGGTGACGACTGGCAGGGGGGCTCTGAGGACACTGCCAGTCTGAGGGTCAGAGAGAAGAATGAGAGGGCCACTGTCAAGATCATTATCAACATCCTTGATATTTATTAGGTGTTTACAGAATGCCCAGTGCTTTCTAAGCATCATTGCATTTAATCCCGCAGCCTCCTCATATTCATGATTCACCACTTAAAAATCTGTGCCATCTTCATTATGCACAAACAATGAATCATGGAACACTACATCAAAAAAAAAATCTGTGCAATCTTCAGGGAGTCACTTAAACTCTCTGGGCATTAATTTCTCCAGCTATGTAAATTGGTACAATCATAGTTCTAGCAATGAGATCATGCATATAAAAGTACTTAGTACAGCGTCCAGCTCGTAGTAAATAGAAACTGTTATTGTTGTCATTATTTGTAGCTGAGAGAAGACACTCCTAGTTGTGCCTAGTATCCACTTCCCCCTTCATCCCGGGCAACTAAACCTCCCTCTTTTGCATATCACTCGGAATGAAGACTACATTTCCCAGCCTCCCTTGCAACTAGGTAGGGCTACATGACTGAGTTCTGGCAAATGAGATTTGAGAAAGTGTCTCCCCTTCCCACTTCCCTTCATACTCTTGCCTGGCATGAGGTCCTGATGAGATGCCGTCTTGGAATATAGCAGAACAACAAGCTAGAAGGAGTTTGAGTCCCAGAATGACATCAGAACTGTTACTGAGCAAGAAATAAACTTCTCCCTTGTTTAAGCTACTGTTTGTATCTCTGACACCCATGGCCAAACCTGTATCTTAACTAAGAGGTAGTGAGTCACTTCTATTATTATCCCCATTTTATGGACAGAGAAATGGAGCCTCAGAGAGGAAATGTAACTGACTCAGGGTAAGTAGGAGGGTCCTAGATTTTAGCCTGTCTGACACCAAACCTCATGTTCTTTTTTTTTTTTTAAGATTTTATTTATTTATTTGAGAGAGAGAGAGAGAGCACATGAGAGGGGGGAGGGTCAGAGGGCGAAGCAGACTCCCTGCCGAGCAGGGAGCCTGATGCGGGACTCGATCCAGGGACTCCAGTATCATGACCTGAGCCGAAGGCAGTCGCTCAACCAACTGAGCCACCCAGGCGCCCACCAAACCTCATGTTCTTAACCACTAGACAACACTGCCCACCCACCCTACCCCCAGCACGTCCCTTCCTGTACCTGAGCTTGCTGGGGTGTGCATCCCCGTGCTCATCTTCAGGTCCAATCCAGCATCCTTGAACACAGCAAGTCCGTCTTTCCCACTGCCTGCCGTACAGCCAATGTCATCTTCTTCCACCACATCCCAGACCTGGGGGTTAAGATAGGAACCTGGCTTTGGAGCTTGTATGACCTTTTCAGGGAAGGAGAAATGGTGCACTGAAATAGCTGGCTCAAATAATAATTCTCACACCACCTCCCATTTACTGAGCTCTTAGTACCTTCCAATCTCTAGCTGTGCGTTAGCTCCTTGAATCCTTGCAACCATCAATGTTGCCCATTTTACAGCTGAAGAAGCCGAGGCCCCAGTTATTATTATTATTATTATATCCAGGCAACCTCCTGCCCCAAAGCCCACATATTCTCACCTTCTTCTGTGTGAGCTTGTGTTTGCTGTTTAAGACATAGACAGCCTTGTCCACGGCCACCAACCCCACTGTGGCCTCTTCATCACCTGTCACCTTCACTTCCACCTGGCTGTTGAGCCTCAAAGTCTGGAAGGGTCTTTCTTTCTTCAAACCAACCTTCAGCTGAGCCAGGAAAAACAGAAATGTCAGGAAAAGGGGCTCATATGCTACCAAGGGACTTATCCAAGTCTACTTTCAAGTTTGTGCTCCTTATAGCTCTGATGGAGCATCCAGGAACTTCACCAGGCCAATCCCAACTCCACACATTTACCTGCATATTCTCTATGCCCCAGGGTGAGCTTTTAAGGGCACATTCCTCTTCCCCACCCTGCCCCCAGACTTGGAGCCCTTCAACTTGGACAGACTATCTGCCCATGCAAGTTTTATGATGGTAATGTGCAACTTCAAGGAATTTGGCTCACCGTCCCCATGCATTTGTCATTCACACCAACCCACACGGAGTCGGCCACCAGTTCAGGATCCTGACCTGTTCCCCCAGGCAGTAAATAAAAAGCCAGGATGCAGGAGGGCAGCATTTCTGAAGTCACATCAATAGTGGTTATGGTGTGGTCACTTTTTGACTGATGTTTGGCATGCACAATCCGGCCCTTACTCAGGACCTTGGAGACAAGGGAGGACAAGAATGAGAAGGGTAAGGTCAACCTTTTCTTGAGGCCATCTCAGCTCACAAGGGAGACCCACAGTTCCTTTGCTTCAGCCCCTTAGTCTGAGGCCACCCCAGATGGTTCCCACCTTCACACCACTGTTCAGTTTCTCCAAACCAGCTAGCCAGGGATGTTCCAGGGAAATAATTCTTTGGCTTAGGTTTTAGTCCTAGCCACTCACCAGGATGGTGAAGTGAGTGATCCATTTCTCGGCTTCAGAATTCTGATGTCCTGTGACAAGGTTCAGGTAGATGCTGCTGCCAACCTTTGTGACTGTCTTCACCTCAATGTGCAAGACGTTCCCTGACCCACCCTGAGTCGAGTAAGGCCAAGCTGTCATAGTGGCTGAAGCCCGCTCTTCTGGCCGAAGAGGCTCATCAGTATTCTACCTGGGGAGAGTGATGGGCAAGTAAACTTTCAGCTCTTCTAGCTCACACAGCTCCACTATCCCTGCCCCATTAGGTTGGTACCAGGATAGGGAGCTTCTCCCGATTTTTTGCATTTGTGTTGATGGTCAAAATGGCCACTCCATTGGCTGACGTGCGGTCTCGTTTGTCTTGGCATCGGACAAGGACTCTAGAGGCTGGGGACCCATCAGGATTTGAGACGAAGACCTGAGGTAGAATCAGGTGTGAGATGATAGGCCTGGTGGTGGCCTGGCATGAGAAGTGGGTACTGGGAATCTGATCTGGACAGGACTGCCTTGTATAGCTGTATGGGTTGTCCACTGAACAACACTGGGGACACCATTCATGTTAGAGTCTTTATGAATGGCACCCCCTCAAGTTTTGCAGTGTGCAATCATATGTGATGGTCCTGGGTGTTGGTGTGCTGGTGGGTGGAGGTGGAGGGAATTGGAGTGGAGAGATGTGGAGGGCTTGGGGAAATCTTTAGTAGGACTGGCACCAAAGGATGTTTCTAGTTTTCTTAATGTCCATCAGACATCTCAAAGTCACCCAAAATGAATGCATATAAAAACAGCATGTTTGCTGTGCAAAAGTAGCCTCAAGATAACCCCCTGAGCACCACCTTCTAGCTTGACTGTGACCACTAAGCCCCCCATAGAGAAATTATGGAGTCGTCACAGTGCTTTGGGGGGACCCGGGTTGAGATTTGAGAGAGACTTGGGACTGGTCTGGGAGGCATGATGGATTCATTTCTCTAACAGATAAGTTGTGGGGGACAGGTGAGTCCAGTGTGGGTTTTTGTCTCCTGAGAGGGGCCTATTAGGGGAAGGGAGCCCCAAGACCCTGGGTGGAATGAAGTCAGACTCTGACCTTAACGTGGAAGGGCATCCCAGGCTTGAAATACTGGGGTGTCCTGATGAACTTGATGCTGTATGTCCTCCGGACGATCTTCACCCCAGAGGTCTCAGCCTGGACCATCTCACCCCCTGGAGAGACAGGGGACTGTGAGGTCTGTGGAGGAGGTCCAGTTTCTTGGGGGAGTGGCAGGGCTGCTCGTATGGGAAGCCTGTCTTGGTGAAGACAAGGAAAGACAGTAACACAATCTCAGCTCCTTCCAGCCTTTCTGGCATTTTCGCATTTCTCTGATGAGGAAATGGGCTGGGAGGTGGCCCGTGGTCACATGGGTGGAATGTCTAGGTTGGGTAAGAACACTGTCCTGACCTCAGCCAGGAGCTTGGGTGAGGGTGGCACCTGAAGAGAACACGGTGACGTTGATAAATATTGAGGCCCCAGTGAAGTCCTCTTCTGGGCCTTGGAATGTGGACATCAGTGTGTCCTTCTGGAGGGAGACGTGGCCCAGACCTTCAGAGATCTGCTCTCAGGGTGAGAGAGAGAAGAGGAGATGGTTTCTTGGGGAGAAGAGGAGGGTTGATAGGGGGGGAAATTGGTGGGGGGAGAGGTCAAGACTCAGTCACCTCCACTCTCTGCAGGGAACTCTGGATGGGCATCCGGTGGGAATGCAACTTCACCCCGAAGATGGCCAGAGCATGTCCATCCACTGGCTCTTTGAAAACATACCTGGGGGTGGGTGGAGGGTCATTCCACTGGCTCTGAAGCACCCACACAACTTCGTGTGGTTGCAGAGATGTCCTGTATGACCTCATGAGGCTGCAGGGATGGTGGTAAATCTCTGGGAGGGGCAGAGTGACCCCTGGAAACTTAGATGGTTTCATTGCTGACCTACACAACCCTGGGAAGTGATAAATGTGTCCCATAAAGCTTCGTGTTGGGTTGCAGATATAGCCTGTGCAACCTCACAAGATGGTGGAGGTAGCCCATAAACCTCATCAGGCAGCCTAGGCGGCATGCATAGGAATGGTCTGCATAGTGTTGGGAAGTGGCAGATATAGCCCTTACAACCTTAGGTGGACAAATGGTCTGTACAACATCATAGTGCTGTGGAGATGGTCTGGACAATTTCGTAAGATGGCAAATGTGCCTGTGCTACCTTGTGGACCTTCAGAGATGGTCCGAGGCATGGGACATGGCATGACTTCATTAGGTGGGTGAGGTGTCCTATACAACCCCAGAGACCTGAAGGGATGGTCTGTACTATCTACACATGGCAGACATGGTCTGGACAACCTCATAAAACAATGTAGGTGGCTAAGGATATCTCATGGGTGGCAAAGAGTACCTCTATCCTACCTTAAGTGCCACAGAAGTGGCCTGCTTCTCTAACTATTCAGGTTCTTGGCATTCCTGGTCCTCTGGCCAGGCTGGGGAGAAGGGGACTCACCAAGCCTCGATGTCCACACCCAGAGCCTCATCGTTGAGGTAGAAGAAAGTCTTGTTTGGCTTCAGCTGGACCTCAAATGATGGGAGCACTGGGTGGAGTAAAGGCAGTGGGCACCCTCAGTATTTTGCTGTCCCCCCCATCCCCTCCCTGTTCAGTCTTTCCTCAGTGACTCTTGCAACCCCCAAGGATTGGAACACATATTCCTGTTCACCAGCACCCAGCTTAGGATCTAGCACACAGTAGGTGCACCACGAGACCTCTTTTCCACTTCAGCTCTGTTCCTTGCATGTCCCACCTTGCCCTGCCCATCACACCCTGCTCACCATAATCCCTGACATCAAAGGCTGCCTTGAACTTCTGCTTGGCTGCACTTTGGTAACTGGCTTCGATGCTCCAGGTCCCAAAACTGAGACACAGAGAATTTGGAGAGATGGAAACTGAGAAGGAGAGCCTCCATCCCTCCATCCACAGGGCTCCCAGCAGGGCACCTGACAATCTGTGGGAGTTCAAAGGATCTTGTGAAGAAACCATCCTTGGCTAGCAGATTCCGGCTGATCACAGTGATCCCCTCCGGGTTCTGTGGGGACAGGGGGTGGGTGTTTCATGCCCCAGGCCTTCAGCACATGATATAACCTCAGTGTCTGGGATCCACCCTCCCATCAGGAGAGGCCACCTTGATGTCCAGAGTGAATATCCTGGTCACAGGATCCATCTTGTGGTCCACAACAAACACCTGGTATTGAACTGGAGGGAGAGGGAAGACTCTGAGTTCTGGATAGAACCTGAAGAGGGAGGTAGTCGTTAGGATCTTGGGTATTAGGATATAGGGGTCTTTGGACAGAGGGTGACCTTGGGAGGTGGAATATGACAGGCACTGGGGGAGACTGGGAATGAGAGTCAGCATCTGCCCTAGGCCAAGTGCCTGGGGGCTGTACCCAATTGCTCAGGGGTGTAGATAGGCTTGTCTGTCTGGATGAAGATGTAGCCAGCATGGGGAGCCACCGGCACTATCTTCTCCATGAATGAAGTGGTTGAGATGGGTGCCCAGGTTGCCCGGATGATGACATACTGCTGCCCTGGTTGTGGGGGGTATATCAGGCTCTCGGGAACCTGGGGAGAGAATCCCACACTCCTCAGGCGCTGCTGAGGTCACCATCCCTGGGAACAAAGCCCTGAGCCAGATCTTGGGAGAAACAATTGAGTGGGGGCCCTCTGGCTCTGTGGTTGGGAGCAAGGTTGCCTTGCAGGTTCCTCCTGCACAAGGACATCCGGCCAAAGTGGGAATGCAATCCAGTCCACGGTCAGCTTCCCAAGCCACCAGCAGAGGGCGCCTTTTATTAATTCTCACAGAGACATCATCTGGGCTAGTCACTGCCCTTGTTGGAGCCCAGACTCAGAGGACTTTGGATTTCTAACAGGACGGGACATAAGAGGAGGAGTAAGTATATTCAAACCCTGCATCTATTCTCCAGTGTCCCTCGTGGGAAGTCCCTCTAGAGTCTGCCCCTCTCCATCCTTGCTGCTGACCCAGAGCCTCCCTCTGTGGCCACCCTTCCTGGCCTGTCACCTACCGTCATGGAGGCCTGTTCCATAAAGTCGTTTTCTTCTGAGAGAATGAGGTGGCTCTTAGCCATCACTGCCTTCTTCATGGGGAAGTCCCGTATGGTAAGGTTCACTTCGAGGGTCCCTTTGAGGGACTGCTGAGAGTCTGAGTGAGCCTGTACATGGATGGTCTCAGGGCTGCCAACCCGCAGGGCTCAGGGGGTCACCAGGACGTACCTGCCAGTAGACAAACACAGGAGCATGGCGGGGGAGGGGAACTCAAGTGGGGGAAGCCGCAGCAGAGAGGCAGGCTCACATGCAGGGAATCACGCAGGCAGCAGCTGAGTGCCCTCCATTTCCCAGACTCACAGTGGCTCAGCATGGGCAAGAGGTGTCTCCAAGAGGAGTAGAATCAACCCCACGAGCCAGGGCACATCCATGGCGGTAGGGGGCTGATGTGCAACCACAGGCCACAGACGCCCGTTCTCTTGTCTGCTCTGTTTGCCTTGGCCTGCCGCGGCTGAGTTAATATCTAAACAGAAGTGGGGAGGGAATCCCCATAAATCCAATGGGGGAAGAGGGGGCTGCTCCTCCCTTCTCAGCCCATCCTCCACGGGAGGCTGGGGACAGCTGCACTAGGAAGTATTCCAGTCCGCCCTTGGAGGCCAAGCTCTCTGGGCTCCTTTTCCAGAAGGCAAATTATACATATGAAACCAGGGACAAAAACACATCATGCTTGAGGCATTCCTGGAAGAAGGCTTTCTCTGTCCTGAAATAATTTTCACTGCCTGTTTAATATGCCCTTTAAAGATGTTGGACCAACTTTGTGGCGTCTGCCTCTTAGAAGCAGACGGGTTGAAGACAAGTTTATCTGGTTCTTCTTCTTCTTTTTCTTTTTTCAGTGAAGCCAATACTGCTAGCTTGGAGAGTCTTGCTTATTGGAAAGACCCAGATCTCCCCGAAACAATGATAATATACATTTATCCCACAAAGATTCATTAAGTATTGGCTATGAGCCCAGCCCTCCTTAGCATGCTGGGAACACAGCAGTGACCACAATAGACGAAATCCCTGCCCCTGTGGAGTGGACATTTAAGGAGGACTTGCTAAGGGCTTAAGGTGCATTTCCTCCTTAAACCTCACAGCCTCTTGTTAATTAGGATCAAACTGTGCCCTCTTTCCAGACTCTACCTTTGTAGAGAGCTGGAAAACCAAGTGTGTTAGAAACAAAAGGGGAAGGTGGGATCTAGTCATTCATTCCTCAGGCATTTACTGAGCACCTACTGTTTGCCAGATGCTGTTCTACCCGCTCTTTGTGCATTGACAGAAGAACCATAAATGTCCCACATTTATGCTGAAGTAAGAGTTCCCACCTATTGTATCGATAAGGAAACAGGCCTGCTGAGTGAAGGCAACTTGCCCTGGGTCAGGCAGGGAGCCGTGAGGCTCCGGGTGATGCTCTTGAGTCCATGTTGAGTCCAACAATCTCTTGTGAAGCAAAGAATCAACAGAATCAAATTAAGAGCTAGATCAGGGAAGCAGATGAGACCTAATTTGGAAGGTTCTAGAACATCGGTGCCGTCTTTGATGTTTCAACTCTGTCCCCCTGCTCTGTGGGGTGCTCCGCTGGTGCTGTTCAGCCCTCCCTTAGCTGGGGGTGGGCTCCCCCCTTCACATCTTTGTCCCCACACCAGGAGTCCACATCCCCCTCTCTGTCCCAGGAGCTTCCAGGTGTCCAGAACAAGGCATTGTCCAAAAGTGTGGGATGGCAGGGGTTCTCAGTCCCTCCCACCTTCTGTCCAGTCTGGGCCCCCTCTCGCCATGCCAGTGTCTCTCTGTCTCCCCAGTGGGAATCCTGGTCAGGTAAGCACATCTGGGGCTTTTGAAACCTGCTCAAGCCTGCAGCTTCTTTGAGTTTCAGTTTTGTCTTGGGGGTGGGCCCAGGAAGGGAAAAACAGAGGAGGTAGGTCACACTTTGAAAACAAGGTGATATAGCTTCATCATCCGATGAACAAATGGATGGAGGCGAAAACGGGGGCTGGGTGAAGGAGTGACAGGAGCTCACATCTCGTACATCTGTCTCCTCCTCCCCACCCCAGCCTCAGCTCCCCTAAATGAAGAATAAGCATATGTTCAATAACTAATATATAAAATAAGTTTGAGCACCAGCTGCATGTCTGGCTTTGTTGTAGGTGCTGGGGGCACAGAAGGGAACAGGACAGAAACCCCTCCCCCTGGGGAGGGGCTGTTTACTGTAGCTGCCTTCACCTGGATTCACCCTCTCAGGGCTCTAATGACCCACCGACCCACGTCGCCAATGGAAAAGCCTAGGCCCTAGAAGGTAAAGCGTACTGCCCGAAACTGTGCAGCTAGGAAACTGAGACACAAGGAGGTTAAGGGACTTGCCTAAGATCACACAGCAAGTTAAGTGAACCTGTGTTTGAGAGGGAGGAGGAGCAGGGGGTCGCAGACCACCTGTGGGATCCCCCCAGGTCCCCTACACCAGTTAATGGTCAAGTTCCGCCTTTCGCACTTGGCCGCGAGAGGGCGCCAGCGAGCCTCCAGCCAGACTGAGGAGCGCTCGGCCTCCTCCCACAGGAATGCGGGTGGTGGAGGGAGGGGACGTTGGCCGCACGCCCAGAGCAGCTGCTACTGCCGCTCAGATCCCGCCCGCCTTCCCCTCCCTGGGACCTCGGGTTTGCAGCAAGCAAGCCAGGGCAGGAGGGACGGCTTTGCAGGGATGTGTCGGCTCTGTTTTCGCTCCCTCCTCCTCCCGGCTTCCAGCCCAAAGCTTCCCGGGAAAGGCCGGACGGGATCCAGGAGGTTAGGAGTCATACCCACAGCAAGATTTCAGTGAATGGCTGTCATATACGAAACACCTAAGCCCCGGCACTTAGTAGGGACTTTCTCGTCAGCAACCCTTCCATTGTACAGGTGAGGAAACCGGAGCTCAGAAAGGTGAAGTTTCTTGCGTCTTGGCGTGCACGTGGACGAAACCGCCAGGATGTGCCCTGCTTGGTCACTTGCTGTCTGAGCCCAGGCTCCTCCGGTCATTTCTTGGTCCCTGAGGGCGTCTGATCACGCACTTGTTTTCCCCAAGGCTTCAGGAACTGCCCTTGCTGGTCCCTAAGGGCATCCATCACGCGCCTCCCCTCCTGGTCCAAGGAGGTCTGGTGCGCAGTGAGAATTTTCAGGGGAAGCTTGTTGCTTGCTATGGGAGGAGGGAGAAGAATTCAGCAGTCACGTTTGGGGGTGATTATTGGGTCTGAAAGCGGTGTGATATGCGCTCCAACAGAACTGACAGCCTGATCAGGGAAAACTACCCCAAAGTAAGCAGCTATGAGGGCCCAGAGAAACCTCCTAACCCATCCAGGCTGGGGAGTCAAAGAAGGCATCCTGGAGGAAGCGGTATTTAGGCTGAGACCTGAAAGTCTTAGGAAAGTATGGGTAATCCAGGGCAAGGATTAGGGGTGGGAGAGAGCAAGATGGTTTTGTTTCAGGGGGAGGGAACAGCCCATGCAAAGACCTGGAAGGGAGGTGGAGCATGGTGATTTGGGGAGGAGTAAGAAAAGGGTCTTGAAATCCTTCTTCTTAGGCCACAGAGAATCTCATTTCGATGCATTAATTTACCCACTCTTTCTTTCATTTGTCAGATATTTGGATATCTACCTCGTGCCACATACTCTTGTAGGTGCTGGGGATGTAGTTGAGCACACAACAGTCTTCTCCCCATGGAGCTGACATTCTAGTAGGGGGAGAAAAGCAAAAACCAAATAACTAGTATATGTCAGGTGGTGAGAAATAAAGCAGGTTCAGGGGACA